CACAGTGCATGGCCCCCCCAGGGTAGAAGCACTAGGTATGGCACTGAAAGCCACCTGTTCTGGCCGTGACTTGCGCATCCCAACACTGTCCCCTGAGTGGACGCTGTTGATTCGCAGTGGTCCTTCTCTGAGACCAGGCCTATGTGGGCAACAGTTTCTGTCCACCTGGACCTGCCCCCCATCCCACGCCCAGGCCCGGGCCCTCGTGTTCTCTGGGCCTCAGGGAGGGAGAGAACACGCATGGAATCTCCTATCTGATCACTCATTTCCAGCTGGTACAGACGAAACATCAGAGCAGCCATGAACTTGCACATGGCCAACAGGCTTCACCTGGACTCCAGAATGGGGGCTGTCTAGTCTTGGAACAACAAAAGCTGACGTTTTAGATCTAAAACTGCCTGCGGCAAGGACACAGAGCCTTGCCTTCCTTCTCCCTCACCGTCTGTTCTGGAAGGTGCCAGAGCCCCACTCTGGAGAGCCCCTCTTGACCCACACGTCCAGACCCACACCTTTCCTTCCGCCTCATTCTACCTCTCTCAGCCACAGCCGGGCGCCAGCTTCTCCTCGGGCCACTCGACACCCGGCGTCAGACACGGCGTGGCCGCTGGCCAAGGCCATGCCTGCCCCCTGCGCTGACCCTCCTCCTGCTCCACGCTGTGCCAATGGCTTTCTCGGGGCATCCCGCTGAGGGCACAGCCACTTGAGAGCAGGACCCAAGGCGGGGAGAAGGGAGACGCCCCACATCTCCATGGCAACCACACACACTGGCCCCCCTGCCCCCGGAGGAGCAGTTGAGAAAGGAGGGACTTGAGCAGACCACACAAAGGTCCACACGCCACACCCTGAATGCTTGCTTCTGGGCAGGACACCAAGGAAACAATTCAGCAGAGGAAAAAGGGGGTGCAGGCAGGGGGCGGACTCTGCGGAACAACCGGCAAACCCCACACGAGCTGAGTGCCACAGCCCTCGGGCACAACGCAGCCGATTGCTCTGCGACTGTTAAAATCATCATGATCCAGACTGCAGAGACGCGGATGCGTCCACGGCACATTCGACCACAAAGGACAGAACATGACTTATATGCTATGATCACAGGTCTACAAGCCGGGTATACCTCTGGGCAAAACCTGGAAGGGAAAACATACGAGTAAAAACACCTGTGCTAGAATCACACACCCAGGTCTCTGCCCTTGAAATTCTCGGGGCGGTTGGGGGGGGGGGGTGGCGGGGCGTGTGCCTGGGTGGCTCAGTCAGTTAAGCGTCCGACTCAGTTTCAGATCATGATCTTACGGTTTCATGAGTTCAAGCCCCGCATCGGGCTCTGTGCTGACAGTATGGAGCCTGCTTGGAATTCTCCCTCTCTTGCTCGCTCTCTCGCTCTCGCTCTCTGCCCCTCCCCCACTCACAATGTCTGTCTCTCTCAAAATTAAAAAAAAAAAAAAAGAGTGGGATGCTTACCCAAATGAGCCACCCAGGCGCCCCAAGCTAGATCATCTTCATAATGAAATGGGAGACAGAAAACACACACCTGTATACTCACTAACATATACACTAACCGACCAGAGAAAGTGGGATACGCAAAGCTAATCAGATCCAGGAGCCCTGGATTCCCGTGCCAGCTCTGTTGGTAGGTCTTCAATCTTGAGAAATTCTCTTCCCCTCTCTGGGCCCCCATGTTCTCTTCTACCAGCGACAGGGGGGACCGGGCCGGCCCCGGCCGAGCCATCTGCGCGGGGCCGGTGTTCCCAGAGATGCACCTGAGGACCGGCAGGGCCAGGACACGGAGCACCCAGGTGCCTCCTGCTGCTGAAAATAGTCACAGGGCGGCAATAAGTCAACTGCACAAGGGCAAATCACCTCTAGTGCCCAAGAGACGCCGCTCAGACGCGTGCCTGGGTCTCCAACCGCTCCCGGCGGGCGCGGGGGAAGCTGTCTGTTCACGCACCACAGGAGCGTGCAGGCCCTTGGCCAACAGGAATGTGTGGCACTCGCTCTCTGAAGGAGTCCTGTCCTCACCTCTTCAATGACTCTGTTCCAGGGCCTGGCCTGCCGGCCCCAAAGTCACAGAGAGTGACCTCACAGTCTACAGGACAGCACCAGTCAGAAAGCAGGGCATGCCAAGTTCAAGTTCAAGGGGGGTGGGGGGAGGACGGTTTCTTCCTGCTAGGGGAACGGGGAAGACTTCCTGGAAGAGGCAGCCTTTGAGCTGGCTGCTGTAACGGCTGGACAGAACTTACACGTATAAAGTGAGTGGGGAGAGCAGACTTAGGGGGCAGTGTGATCAGGGAGAAGGAAGTAGAAAAGAGAGTTCAGTTTGTGATAAATTACGGGAAGCATTAAGCCAGAGAGCAGACCACAAGGGCCTTAGAGGCTACACCAAGAAAATCCCCAACCAGCTGTGTTTGCACCTGGCATCATTTGATGATAAATTCAACCCGTCATGGAACCGACAGGTGGTCAGGTAGCCACAAGTGGCACCCACTGACTTTTCGGTGCCTACCCCTGACCCCCGAGAACCTTTCTTTGTTCAAATGGCAATTGCTTGAGATGAAAGACAACTTCCACTTAATATTTTCTTTTTTCCCCGGAAAACAGCAAATATTGAGAACCAGTTGTAGGAGCCAAAAGGCAAAGATAATTTTTTTTTATGTTTATTTGTTTTTGAGAGAGAGAGAGAGTGAGTGAGTGCACAAGCAGGGGACTGGCAAAGACAGAGAGGGAGGCACAGATTCCGAAGCAGGCTCCAGGCTCCAAGCTGTCAGCACAGAGCCCAACGCGGGACTCGAACCCATGAACCGTGAGATCATGACCCGAGCCGAAGTCGGATGCTCAACCGACTGAGTCACTCAGGCGCCCCAAAGATAATTTTTTTAGGAAGAGGCAGGATCCCAACTCTTGTACAGATAAGACCCAAACACGTGGCCAAAGATTTAATTTAACTGATCAGTTAACGCGGGCAGCAGGAAGACGTTACATCTGGGATAGCGCAGAGAACTCGGGCTACGTGGCCATCAGAAGTGCTGAAATACACTTGCTCCAGCAGAAGGGAAACCAACCTCCACAGGGCGACCGGCAATTGGACCCTCCACCAGACACAGTCTGCATCGTTAGGGACAAGAAGCGTGGTCGCCACCAGGATTCTACAACCTACACGGTGTGGTGTGGCTCAAAGACAAGGAGAAGCCAGGGGCCCAGGGAAACCGATCCCCGGACGACACCCACATTTCCACTGCGGATGCTCAGCAGAATTCTGACTCACCTCCAAGGCTTTCACGTTTTCCCCGCAAAGGGGAATACTCATCAACGCACAAACCGTGGCCTCTCCGGCACGCGTCTTATGGGAAATCGCAGTGAGGACGCACGTATGAGGTTTCGAACCCGGGCGTATGCCTAGCCATCATCACAGCTTGGCAGGCTGGGAGCCGGGTCTGTACCCAGCTGGCTGACTTTAGACTGGGAAGCAGGAGGCTCTCAGGGTGCCGCAAACCAGCCAAGAGAAAATCTCTCCCCCTCCTTTCTCCGCTGGCACTAATCCAGACACTCAGGCCTGACCACACCCTGGAGTCGCCTGAGGAGACAGGAAGAGCACTCTTGCCCATTCTAGAAACTCCACCCCCAGCGCTCCTGATTTTGCTGGTCAGCATGGGACTGGTGCATCACTGGCTTTTAAAATCCCCTGGGGAGGGGCGCCTGGGTGCCTCAGTCGGTGAAGTGTCGGATTCTTGATCTCGGCTCAGGACATGGTCTCACAGTTCATGGGTTCGGGCCCCACGTCAGGCTCTGGGCTGACAGCTCAGAGCCTGGAGCCTGTTTTGGATTCTGTGTCTCCCCCTCTCTCTGCCCCTCCCTGGCTCATTCTCTTTCTCTCTTTCTCTCAAAAACAAATAAACATTAAAAAAAATTTTTTTAAGCCCCTAGGGGAGGGGGACCTGGGTGGCTCAGTCCAACTCTTGATCTTAGTTCAGGTCATGATCTCACAGTTCATGAGTTTGAGCCCCCCATCAGGCGCTGGGCTGGCATCATGGAGCCTTTTTGGGATTCTCTCTCCTTTCTCCCTGCCCCTCCCCTGTGTGCTCGCTATCTCTCTTTCTCTCTCTCTCAAAAATAAATAAACTGGAAAAAAAAGAAAAAGAAAGAAAATCTCCTAGGGGATTCTAGTGAAGAGCCAGGATTGAGAACCACTGGGCCAGATAACAAGACCCCTTTGTCCCAGACGCTCCGGCTTTATCGTACTGTTTCCTTGTCATTGATAGCCGCTAGCCTCAGCACAGGACCAGAGAACATCAGCGGGGCGTTTTCTAAAAAATCCTCCTCAAAATTAACCTTCGGTAGAGACCATAAAACAAGCACAATTCCTGACCTGGTCAGACTTGGCAAACATCCCGAATGTGCTAGAATCTTCCACTGCGCTTGCCATCAACCCAATGAGCAGTCCGCGGGGCTGAGCACAGGCCTGGTCTCCTAATTTGCGTGTACGGAGTGGAGAGGCCTTTAGGCGTGTGCGCTCACAGGCACTGACGCCTTGGTGCACACACGGGCATTCATGCACACGCTCACACTTCACACCCACAGAGGAGCCTCCAAATCAAAGAGTGGGGTCCCAGAATTATAAAAGGGCCCCGCCTCCCACTGGAGTAACTGACGGACTTTCGATGGGCTGGTCCCACGGTGGGGGAGGTGACGGACAATGGGGCAGATGATGGAGGATCCCAACACTTTCCCCCCCAACCCTTCTGAGACCTCTGATAGGCGTTACAAACCTGACGTTATCACAGATTGCTTGGAACCCACTCATCGCTTCACCAAGGCCGGCCCCGGGCAATCGTTGGCACGTCTCCTCCCTCCGATGGGCCCTGTGCTGGGGGCTCCCGAGGCCCCCGACCTGCCTTTCTGTGGCACTGTGGAAGGCCTGGGTCAAGTGTCTCGAGGATGGATGCTCTCCCCGGTCCTCCCTTTCTTGGTCCCCATGGTCCCTGTCCCCCCACGTGCCCCACACTTACTGCAGGCCGCACAGGTGAAGCACGCATCGTGGTAGAGGTTCCCCATGGCCTGGCAGGCCTGGCCGGCCCCGAACACCCCTTTGCTGCATTTCACACAGGCTCCTGCAAAGTAAGAACATGCCAGTGAGTCAGGGGGAGAGACAGAGTAAACTCAGTCATAGAAAAGCCAATGAACAAAGCGAGATGCCTGTCCCTCCCCATAACCGACCATCACCAAATCCAGTGGATTACTCCCTTGAGATCGCTCTCTCTCTCTCTCTCTCTCTCTCCATCAGCTTTTCAACTCCAGGAGCTGGCCTTCAGAACCCCACTCCCGAGCCCCATGCCGACCTCCATAATGGCGTGCTGATATTCAGAAAAATCTCTGCTTTGCCGATCTACACCCCAGCCCAAAGCTTTCAAAGGCCCCCACTATTTATCAGATGCATCCAAAAACACTGCACCATGATCATAACCTGCCAAGCATGCGGGTCGGGCGATTTCAACAAAATCCTTTCCTTCAATTCTCAATGGGAACCAACTAGGGTTGACAATCCTCACTTTTTTTTTTTTTTTTTTATTTTAAGTATATTCATGTATTTTGAGAAAGAGACAGAGAATCAATCCCAAGCAGGCTCTGCCGGCACAGAGCCCGGCGTGGGGCTCGAACTTACGAACTGTGAGATCGTGACCTGAGCTGAAATCATGAGTCAGACACTACTGAGCCGCCCAGGTGCCCTGATGAGCCTCACTTTTTGCAGACGTATCAGGCCACCAGCCCCATGTCTGGCAGGCCGCAAGGCCATGGCCCTTCCCTGCCCCTCACCTCCAAACAAGCTCCCCCCAGGGTCCCAGCTCTCAGCCTTTGCTCACAGGCTCCCCTGCCGGGTACCCTACACCCACCCTTTGTCCCTTCAAGTCCCCAGGCCTCCCTCCCTCTCCCCTCTCCGGCTCTGACGGCAACGTGATGAAACAGAAATTAGCCTCTAACCTTTAGCCTCCCCGCCCACTCAATTCCCACGCGGCGTGAGTTAACCTGGAAACTTCTGGGAGCATCACTTCTCAATTAGGAACACCTGCCTGTTCCCAGGAGTGGCCGATGGCCGTAAAGGCCGCTCTGCAAACCACCAAGTTCACTGGAGTTGGTCCTGCCTCAGCTACAAAGCTGTCTATCGATCCCGCTCCCGCACTAGAACCCCACAATCCATGCGCTATGTGACTAGGGCAGATCATTTGAACTCCCCGCCGTCTGGGGTTTCACCCGTAGGGTGGGATGATGGCAGCCCCTGGCAGGTTTACGGGGAGAGGACACGCCAAGAGTACCTGGTACAGCCCCCTCCACTTGGCAGACGTTCAATGCCCAGGCACACACGTAACAAGGATGCAGTAACGCTACTGTGTTCAGCAAAAAGTTGCTTCCACGTCAAACGGGCTCTTTAAGAAGTTCCAGTCGTCCCAGGATCGTACTCTGTGAGTAAGCGGGAAGTCTCTCTGTCTAGACCAACCCAGAATCTCTGCGGCTGTAGCCCAGGCTCTGGGCCAGTCCACATAAAGGAGTCGCTGGGGCTTCCTTTTCAAAGAACTCCTTCATTGCACTCAAATGAAAAACATCACAGTTATGTAAATGATGCATGAAATTAAAACAAAAATTCAGGGAGTAAATATGCCAAAATACAAAGAGGGGTCGCTTGGGGCGCCTGGGTGGCTCAGTCGGTTGAGCGTCCGACTTCGCCTCTGGTCATGATCTTACGGTTTGTGAGTTCGAGCCCCGTGTCGGGCTCTGTGCTGACAGCTCGGAGCCTGGAGCCTGCTTCCGACTCTGTCTTCCTCTCTCTCTGCCCCTCCCCCACTTGCACTCGTTCTCTCTCTCAAGAATAAACACTAAAAAAAGTTTTTTAAAAAAAGAGTGGTTTCTTATAAAATTATCGTTGGTTTTACTTCTTGCATCTTCTCAATTAAAAACAGATCTGGGGCGCCTGGGTGGCTCAGTCGGTTAAGCATCTGACTTGGGCTCAGGTCATGATCTCACGGCCTGTGAGTTCGAGCCCCGCGTTGGGCTCTGTGCTGACAGCTCGGAGCCTGGAGCCTGCTTCCGATTCTGTGTCTCCCTCTCTCTCTGCCCCTCCCCCACTTGCACTCTGTCTCTCTCTCTCTCTCTGTCTCAAATATAAACATTAAAAAAAGTCTTACAAGAGCAAGTGCTCTCTCTAGACTAGAAAAGGTCTAGTGTCAAAGCCGTCTGCATATGTTTAAATATACGGTATAACCTTAAAATTTTGAACACATACACACGCGGAGCTTCCCCAGTGTCCAGCTGGCAACCAGCCTGTGTTCTCGGTCGGCGGGGGCTCAAGCACCCTTTCCTAATGCTGGTGTCGGGCAGTTCTCAGGCTGCAAATGCCCAGCCTTCCGCCTACAGGATGGAAAGCCCTGTGTTGCAGAGCCCTATCGATTCAAGTTGACGAACTGTGTCGACCTCAAAGCTAACACGTGGTTTGTGAAAGCACGCACACCAGGTTCACAGAGGGCTCACCAAGCCCAGGGCCCTCAACTCACTTCACCAACACTGCCTTCAAGAAGCAGGTGAGGCCGTTTGTAGGAACAGCCAGGAAAAGTAGCTGTTGGCGGGAAGTTGTTTATGGAAAGGGCTGGAGAACACAAGTAGTAGTTACCTACGGTTCTTCTGTTCCACCATTTTATTATGAAATTTTTAAAAAAAATTTTTTTTAATGTTTATTTATTTTTGAGACAGAGAGAGACAGAGCATGAACGGGGGAGGGGCAGAGAGAGAGGGAGACATAGAATCGGAAGCAGGCTCCAGGCTCTGAGCCATCAGCCCAGAGCCCGACACGGGGCTCAAACTCACGGACCGTGAGATTGTGACCCGGGCTGAAGTCGGACGCTTAACTGACTGAGCCACCCAGGCGCCCCTGAAATTTTCAATCACACAGAAAAGCTGAAAGAATCGTGGGGGAAACACCCATACGCACGCCACCCCAATTCTCCGGGTGTGATCATTCTGCTGTCAGTCAGCCCAACAACCCTTCTTATTTTTGATGCATTTCGAAGTAAGGTGCAGAGAGCAGTCTGCCTCAGCCCCAAACACGTCAGCCTGCAAACCATTAAGAAGACTTCATTATTTGCTGACAGTTGTTTTTTGTTTTTTTTTCAAGAGAAAATTCACAAACGGTGAAATGCACAAACGGAAAGTCTACCATCCGATGAGTTTTGACAAATGACCTACATCAGGCAAACCCCGGGCAAGATACAGAATATTTCCAACACCCTTGCAAACTCCCCAGTGCCCTTCCCGTCCATCTTCAGCAAATGTGATCCTGAAGAAGAAACGCTCTCTAAAAAAAAAAACCCATCAAATATCAGGCCACGGGATGGTATTAACTATACTACTCGGTGATCCCGCGATCCACTTCCAGACAAGTCTCCCAAGCCCGCGGATCGACCTGACCGGAAAGGCTGGTGCGTCAGGCAGCCGCGAAAGCACAGTCAAAGCAGACCATCCACGGACCGGATGGAAGGGTCAAAGCCCCGGGACTATAACTCTGTTCACAAACACGGAACAAAACCACGGCCGAGGCAGCATCACTTCTTCCCCGTTAACCACGGTGACCTCGTGGCTTAAGCCACCGTAGCGATGCAGAGAGCGGAGGAGGGTGAGACGCAGAGGTGTGGGCAGCCCTTCTACCTGTGCACGGGGCGGACGCGGGAAGAGGCCAGCCTCCCATCGAGGACGTGCGCTCATCTTGTTTGGATCTGGGGAATGGGATCAGATGCCCTCTCCCACCCCTGCTCGTAAAGCCAATGAATGGCAGGAGGACAGCGTCATCGAGTGGACAAGAACAGGTGCACGGGCCACCCGGGGGTTTCCTGCTACTTTATCACGGCGGCTCAGGTCTTTCTCGCTCCCCGTAGCCGGCACAGCAACGTTCTCCTCTGGTTTCCTCTTCGCCCGAGGGCTCTGACCTACTCACTTCTGCTTCCCGGGAACTTTCTCTTACTCCAGCAGCCCGTGTCCTCTGCTGACCTCCTTTCCCGCCACTCGGATCATCCAGCACCGACACAAAGCAAGGAAGGAAGGCGTTGATGCTCTAAGCCGTCGGCCACAGAGCGAGGAAGAGCCCATAAGAAGCCAGGTAGGTGGGAAAGCATTTCATCCTTGTGCCTTGTGGTAAATGCACAGAAAAGTACTTCACGGGGGCGCCTGGGTGGCTCAGCCGGGTGAGCGCCGACCTCGGCTCAGCTCATGATCTCCCGGTTGGTGAGTTGGAGCCCCCCATCGGGCTCACTGCTGTCAGCACAGAGCCTGCTTTGGATCCTCTGCCCCCTCCCTCTGTTCCTCTCCCTGCTCGCTCTCTCTCAAAATTAAAGAAAATGTGAAAAGAAAGAGAGGGGGAAAAAAAAGAAAATAAAAAAGCACTTCACGGGCAGGAAATAGATCTAGTCTTCCTTCGCGAGGGGCAAAAAAGTAAATTTCATATTCTAGGGAATAATGTACCTACCAGATCCTGCACTAGGAGTTTTCATCCCTTTCTCAAAGCCAAGTTCTAGAAAAGTGCTGTAACTTGCAGAAGAGCACACGGTCTGGGAGATGTGACATGAGCCCACGTTCTAACTCAAAGGTCCCATTATCCCTGCTGCGTTGGAGGCTGTGGGGGTTCCTGCCACACTCAGAAAAAAAGAGGGCTCCTTCCTCACTCTCAACAAACCACATGCTCAGGGATGCGGCCCCAAGCCCAGCCCGGCCCCGGAGCTCCCACTGACCACCCTGGCCCACCACTCATTCTGCCCTATCCCCAAGTGTATAGGCTGTCTTCCCGCCTGGGACCCCAGCCACAGCCCCCCACCCCCCCGTCACCTCCCTTTGCAATGCAGACCCTCACTTAGCTCTTCCTGCCCTCCTGGAGGGACACTGCCACCGAAGCATTCAGCCCACAGATACTTCTCTGTCACTCACTCAGAACCAGGCTCCCGCTAGATGCCGGCAAGATGACAGTGAGCAAGGTGACGGTCCTCAGGGAGCCGTCACCCAGGGATGCGGGGAACCAGAATCTGCCACCTCTGATAGCTGAGCTGACCAATCCCACCTACGGTCCTGCACTGTGAGT